CAGTGTCCATGTTACTGGGCGTTGATGGCGTTGTTCATGTTTGTAACATGCACCAGTTAGCGTCACGCACAACATGCAACATCTAAATCTGTCAGATATATATACCTTAAATTCAACACGTTATCGAATTTAGGTAAACACACGCGGCACAAGATTTGTAAAATAACAGATCTAAACGAGACGAACGTAATCAAAAAAACTTATTTAAACAATTGTAATTTGTGAATTTCAGAAAAATTTGTTTTCACGCAATAACATTTCAGCATCATAACGTATGTTATCTATTAGGCCAGACGCTAACGATGTAAGAATTAAGTGTAGATCATACCATTTTCTAGTTTTTTAAATATGCCATGTGATATCATTACTGTGTTGAAAAGGATAGCAATTTATCGCTTTGCATTGTTTTTATTGTGTTATAATTGTTCATAGTACAGAGTCGATCATAGGATTTGCTGTGTTTTTGTCACGAACGTGGTTCATTACTAGTATGTAAAAGAGGTATTTTTAAAGGGCGATACCTTTGACAATGCAATTCATAGTTATATTCATGTCGATTTTTAAAATTAGTTTGAAGTGAATATTATGGGGTGCTGTTTGTGCACTAATTGATATAATCAAACTGGTAGTACAAACTGGAATCAACACGGTTCTTCCTCATATGTATATAATATAATTATAGTACAAATTGTTTATATATAATGAAGTGAATTATTGAATTTATTTTTACTTATTATATACATAATTTTTATTATATACATATTATATATAGATAATAAAATGTTATTTCAAATTATTAGTATAACCATGGTTTAACATATTAGGTAAGCTTAAATTTATTTGTCTATGATAACAGAGACTGAATTACATATTTATTAGTGTGATACGAAGTGTCAAGAACGGCTCCCGTAGGTTTTTTGTGCTAAAATGGATTTTTTTGTTTTATTGGACTTTATTTTAGAAAATGATGGGGTTCAAATTTTTTGACCACTTGACCCCCTCTAGGGCGTGGAATTTTATTGCGCACCTTCTCGACCAGGTCCCATGCCTATCTCCACTATTAGTACACCTATTTTCATGATCTTGGGGTCATTTTAGGGGTTTTTGAGGATGCTGATTGCATTTATGATACTTTAAACATGATTAGAAGCACCTGTCACATAAATTAGCTCATTAGCAAAAGTT